AGGGCCACACTGCCACCATGGCTCCCCTCACACCCCGGGGATGTCACAGTGTCCCCAAACAGGCGCCATTTACCCCTCAGATCCCGCAGCTGCCACTTCCATGGAATCCCAGAATTGTTCAGGTTGGGAAAGACCCTCAAAAAGCGTCGAGCCTGACCATTCCCCCAGCACTGCCAAGGCCACCACTGAACATGTCCCCAAGGGCCACATCCACACATTTCTCCACCCAGGTGGAGATGAGATGGTGCCATCTCCCCCAGCCATCCTCACGGGCTCCACCTCCCCCCTCAGCTGTCCCTCCAGCCCCCCAGGTGACATTTCCCGCTCTCCCACCCCTCACAGGCACCATTTTCCCCTCAGACACCTTGAGGGAGCCATCCCTTCCCCTCATCCCCCCACAGGCTGTATCCCCCCATTGCTCCTTCCCCTCACATTCCCCATAGGCTCCATCGCCCCTCACGGCCCTCATCGCCCCCGCCCGCCATTTTTCCGCCCCTCGTGCCCCCGCAATTTCCCGCCACACGCCACCGCCTACAACTCCCGTCRTGCCCCGCGGCYACGAAACCRYCGCCTACAATTCCCGTCATGCTCCGCCACGACAGCCTACAACTCCCGTCACGCCCCGCGGCTGTACCACAGCTGCCTACAACTCCCATCGTGCCCCGCTAGCGGCGCYCCGCCCCTTTCCCCTCATGTGACCGGCGGCCGCGCGCTGGGTGCGGGAGCCCCCGATTGCCCCAAATCCCCCGCCCCTCCCGCAGAATTTGGGGATCCCCCCGACCCCCCCCAACCATGGAGGAGGTGGACAAGATCCTGATCCACTCCCTGCGCCAGGCGGGGACGTGAGTGGGGGAGAAACGGGGGAGCTCGAACCGCGGGGTTTGGGGGAGCTCGGGAAGGGGGATCTGGAAAGCGGGGRAACCTGGGGGGGTCCCTGGGGAGACACTCGGGAGTTTTGGGGATCTGAGAAGGGGAGGGTAAGGAGGGGCGGGGGAACACCCCGATGGAGCTTTGGGGGCTCACTGGGAGGAACCCCAAAGAGTTTGGGTGGGGGTACCCTGGGAAGATCCTGGGGGTCTCTGGGGGATCACCCTGAGGATTTGGGAGTGCGGGGGCGTGAGTGGATATTTGGGGGTCCCTGATGGGGAGGTCACGGRGCAGACCCTGAGGACCTTTTGAGGTGGGAGTTTTGGGGAGTCTCTGTGGGACACGAGCAGTTTTAGGGGATCTGGGGGAAGACTGAAGATGGGGGTGACGCCGGGGTTGGGGGGATCACCCTAAGGGTTTTGGGGATGGGAGCGCTGTGCCCCACAGAAAGGGGGGGGAAGTCAGGGTTTGGGGGTGCTCTGGAGGGAAGGGGGCTGTCAGGGTTTGGGGGTGCTCGGGGGGGGTCCCCACGGCCGTGTCCCCTCCTTCCCCAGGGCGGTGCCCCCCGAGGTGCAGAGCGTGCGGGACCTGACCCCCGAGCTGGTGGTGGAGGCGGCCGTTCGGTGTCTCCGGGCCGTGCGCCCCGCGCTGGGCGCCCCCCTGAGCCCCCTCCTGCCCCCCGGCATCTCCGCSCGCTTCCGACTCGCCTCCGACCTGGCCGCGGCCTGCCAGGTACCCCCGAACCCCGAGACACCCCAAAATCGGGGGGAGCCCCTCRCTTGACGCTCTCCCCCCGGGGAGCTGTGGTTTGTGGGGATTTGCGGTGCCAAACCTCGGTACCCTGCCCCCGCAAGCCGCTGAATCTCGAAAGGGGGGACCCCAACATTTTCGGGACGTCCCCAATCGCTGTCCTTCCCACAGGAGCTGGGGTTTGGGGGTGACGTGGGGTACCAGACGTTCCTGTACAGCTCCGAGCACGACACCCGGCGCCTGCTCCTCTTCCTCGTGGAGAAGCTGCCGCGGGACGAGGGCGAGCGCGGGGCTGAGCCCCCCGGTACGGATCTGGGGGTTCCGCTGAGGTTTTGGGGAGCCCCGGAGGGGATTCTGAGGGGTCTGACCCCCCTCGTTGTCCCCCTCCGCAGGGAAATCGGGGGCGCTGCTCCGAGCCATCGGYGCCCAGATCCGGGAGCAGCTGGGGACGCCCTGGGTGCCCCCCGTGTGCCGCACGGCCCGGCTGCAGCGGCTGCAGGTGAACGGGGGAGGGGGAGAGGTTCTGGGAGCTGGGGGGACTCCCCTCTTAATTAGAGGGGGCAATTAACCCTTTAATTAACTCTTCCTAGGGCACAAGTCACCTCCACTCTTTCGCTACCTGTCCCCTGGTCCTGCCCCAGAGTGGGGGATCCCCAGGTGAGAGCTGGGGGAGTTGGGGTGTGGGGGGGTCATTGTTGCCCCAAA